TAGTACTATTAACAATATCATCCAAAAATTCTATTTTAACTAATTTAGTTTGGTTACCAAAACTAAATCAATAGTAATAAATATACGCCTATTATATACTATTTCTTGCATGCTAGAAATCTCTATATTAAAGACAGTTAGCAAATATTTTTCTTGTAATAAAGAAGAGTCTACAATAGCTCTACCTATAATATAATTAGTAATATAACATGTTAAATGATAAATTAAAAATAAAATAAATTTTACATACTATTTTTACAAAATTCCAAAAAAAAGTCCTTAAGTTTATCTATTTTTTCAAGTAGTATGTCGGCTTGTGTAAACGCTTTTACTAAAGTAGTATTAAAGACTTCATATTCATTTAACTCATTATTATTAGCATTGAGAGTGGTATGATGAACTCTTATTTTATTTTCAGCTTTACATACATTTTTTTTATATTCTAAAGTTTTCAAGTTTATAAAACTATTGTAAAAAAGAGATGGTAAAAAAATGATAAACATCTCGCATCATGATCTTAACCTTCTTAATCTATAGATCTTAACTGCAGATATGCTATATAATATGCAAAAAATGCAGACTTAATTAAATCTGCGACAGTATATACTATTGTGAAAATCGTGATTTCTGCATATATTATCTGCCGCAAAAAATAGGCCACCCTAATTCACCTTCTAATCAATAATTTAATCAATACCTGTAGCACATTTCAATCTGTTCTTAAAAGCTACCTCAGCAATCTCCATAATCACACTCAAACACATACCAACCAGCTAATGATTTAAAGGTGTATACAATTAATTCTTGTCAGAAAATTAATGCAACTTCAAGATCATCTCTTTAATATCGCTAATTATACTGAAATTGATTTGGAAAGTTTTTACCTAAAGATGCAATGCAATGACATCGTTATATTAAAGATCTTCAAATGCAATTTCCTGTTACTTTATATCGATATTATCAAGGTAATTACCTTGGTACCATAAACTATATTTGGAAAGTTCTAATTAATCCTGAAAACTGATCAGAAACTACACAAGCACGTGTATTAGCATCTATTCAAGAAAATTACCATTAGGAAAAGTAAATATTATATATATTATTTTTAAAATGTATTTTAAATTAAATATACTAATTATTAAATATAATAATTAATAGTATTCATTAGTCAAGAATATTACACCTGCTATATTACACATTTTATATTATGATTTAACTAGCAATGCTGCTGTAACATTAAATGATATTTGTAAAGAACTGAAAGAACAACTCCGTCTCATGTTAATGATGGAAGATCTATCAATTATATGTGATTTATATCAAAATAATGGATTTAAAGGAACAAAATTTGATACTTTTTGGGATGAAATGGGAGCTTACTTTAACGAAGTAATGGTTTTTCTTAATTATTTCATTTATTTTTATATTTATAAAGTATTTATTTAATTTACAATATTTATTTTTTTATTAGAATTCTCTAGCGGTTAATGATCGATAACATGGAAATGTTCTTTATATGCCACTTGCTATTTAATATGTGATCTACGTGAGATAATTATTCAATGTTTAAATGAAAAGTTTACATCTGAAACTGTTTTAATTCCAAGTGAAGAATGGATCTGTTTACAATTTCAACCAACAAATCTGATAACAGAAAGTGTTAAACAATATACTGGACGTTTTGATATCAAATTTATAGTTCAAGAAAGACAGCTTCGTAAAGATCATCCAGATACACATTACTGTGCAGCTCTTTTTCGATATTTACAAGAATTTGCAATTTTGTATTGACAGTATGTTTCTTTTATCTGTGCAGATGATAAACATAAGGTTCCTATTGGAGAAGGTGTTAATACTTCTACTGGAGTTCGCAATAGAAAAACTATGGTTTTTCAAGAAACTTCTTTAGTTGCGTGTGATTATGATTTTACAAAGTTATCACTTATACCTTCTGTAATATTCTTTTGTAATATTCCCCAATCTATTAAATAGTGCTATTAGACATACCACTGAGTTTTATAATGCAATTTCTACTCATCACTTTCATAATATTCCTCCAATTCTTTGCCTTTATACTGATGGTGGTCCGGATCATCGTATTTCCATATGAGTTGTTTTCTGTTTAGTAATAAGTTAGTAATGAGTTAATAATATTTAGACAATGATTTTGACAATGTGTAATAGGTTTAGAGTTGATTAGTGTATAAGGCCAACAAAATTTAAATCTCTAATGACGTTATGTTTAACAAATATATGCTAAAAACATTAGTTAATAAATTTAACAAAAGCTTTTTTACTGTTTTTAATAGAGTAATAGGATGGGGTATTGTCTAGAAGACAATTTAAATTTTTAGTTTTGGTATTGGATATATATAATCTAAGTTCTATTGTGAAGGAGTCATAGAACTGACTAAACAAGCACAAATAATGGTGTATAACCAATCATCAACAAAGGGATTGTCATCTATGCTATTGTAAATATCATTATCAATATAGTCTACCAGATCATAGAAGGATTTTCAGTTATTCCAATTTTCAGAAAAGGATTCTAGTGATAATACAGTTTAATGAAGCTGCAATTTATTGTAGTATGCTTTTTAATATTATGAATCAATCCAAGATAATGGTTTTTCTGTTTCATTCTAAACAGGAATCAATCATCTTCATAAAGATGTCTTTGAAATTATCACATCTGTATTTAATAAATTTAAGAATTCTATCATTTGTTTTAGATCTAAAGGTAATTAATTGTTTTGCTTGTATAATTTTAATTGTCTGATTTTAATTCATGCATGTATAGTAAAGGTCAATTATTTTTAAAATGATCATCAATTGAAATTGTGGAAATGTAATAATGTGAAGCAATTTTGAAAATAAAATTATATTCTCAGTTGATCAGAAAATCTGATCTAATATTAAGCGTTTGAATTTGTAATAAAGGGAATGGAATTTATAATTTGTCTGTGTATAGTAGCATTTAAGTAATTGAAAAGAGTATTATGATTAGTTGTAGTGATTTGTTTTGATATATTTTTTAGCTAAGGTAATAATAATATCAGATTAGAGATTCACTAGGATTGTGAACTGTGCAATTTAGGAATTTAAAATTATATTTAAAGATCAAATCCATTTTGTCTGAAAAAAGGTCTTATTGTAGACAAGTTGTTTTGTTGTAAAGGAAAGCATTGACTGAATGTTTGAAGAAATTATTTTTATAAATTGTAATGAGAAGAACCATAGAGTATAGAACGAAGGAATCATTCAGAATGTTAAAAGAAGTTAAGTTGTGAGCTAAAGCTGAGGAAATAAATATATAATCTATATGAGAGTAGGTATTATGTGTTGATGAATAGAAAGTAGTAAAAAATTATGTAAAAAAGGATATATCTATATTAAAATCATCCATGATAATTATATGAAAATTAGCACTTCTGGCTTGAATTAATAATTTCATAAGTTTGTTTTGTATTTGAATTCATTCTATATGTAAAAGAGTTTGTCATTAAATGTAGCAGGTAAATAAACCTGAAAGATTTGTAGTTTGAATTTGTTTTTCAAAAAAGGACTATTGATTGAAAATATGAGGCCTTTGCAATAGAAAGGGAGGAAACTCAAAAAAAAATAAAAAATGAGTTAATAATAAATCTGAACAAATTATAGTATTTGAAACATTTTTGGCTTATAAACTAAAATTTTAATTTTTTTGGAGTATCCTCCCTTTCTATTGCAAAGGCCCCATATGTAAAGATAGGGAATTTTTTATGATGAATCTCACTCCTTAACAATTCTGTGAATGATTGTCACTATGAAAAATAAATTTATACTTTTTGTTGTGTAGATTATTATTAATTAATATTTCTTGCTTGTAATATTGTAATATTGTGAGATGTATTTCACTTAGGCCTAAAATAGCTAGATTAAAGTTTGTAAAGATTTCAATTTGTTATAAGTAATAGAAAAACAAGTTCTTACATTATGGGTAGCAAAGGATAAAAGATTTGAATTATTTACTAAACTAAAAATTGGGTCATTTGAAGCTTGTTAAAATCTATTTATTGGACTATTTATTTGCTATTTAACTGATATATTTTGATAAGTTGTAATACTTATTAGGATTGGTTAAGCATTAGAATAAGGAAGTGTAAAGCTAGGCTGACTTCATTTTTAAGATCATTAATAGACAGTTTAACTTAAATAGTTTTGTTCATTAATAAAGAGTTTAAAGTATTAATATTAGGTTCAGAAGAGCTATTTTTGACTAACATATTGGTCTAAATAGGATCTCAGACAAATGTAAGGGGGAAAAAAATAATAAAATTTAAGGAAATTTACCCCAAAAAATTTTGAATTTTGTATCCACTTTTATATATATCACATTTAAAAAATTTATACCAAATTAGTAGAAATTATTTTATTTATTTTTTTGTTTTTGATTAAGTCAACGTAAAATACTAGTTAAAATACTATCATTAGAAGAATTTGATAAATTTGGTATACATTAGATTGTAATGTATATATATTTGTATGTGATTCTTCTATTTGATATCCCAAATAATAAAGTATTTGTTTAGATGATAAATGACAAAAATAATCATATCCTTCATCACATTTCAAATAAAACAAGTTATGTCACAAATTTCTAAATACTTTGGTAGATACAAATATAATTAGATTAATATCATTTATAGGTTCTTCAGTATATGAATGGTTGTTTCCAATTGATGTACGGTAATAAATTGCAAGCATTTGCACAAGACATATTTCCTTATTAATTAATGCTAATGCAAATCCTCCCTTTTATACTGGATAAATTGTAGAAATATTTGCTGTACTAATTGATAGAATATAATTTAAAACTATAAAAAATAAAATATTTAATTAATTATTAGCTAAAAATCATTAAAGTCAATTAATTAGTTATACTTACTGTTATTTAGTAATTGCAATCTTTGCGAATTTTTTAATATTTCATTAACATTTTCAAATCTTTTTCTAATATCCTATCGTTCTAATCGTGCTTTAGGTAATCTTGAATTGTTATTATTATTAATAGTTTGTGCAACTATTTTGCTAGCAATAGATGGATTAATTTCTGCCGATGAATTATAATCTCTTTCTTGAAATTGTGATTGAACCATTTTTTTTGAAGTATAAGTATTGTGATATCTTCAGCATTGATATAGTAAATTAAAAATTATATCATTATTATTGTTTAATATACTAATATTAGCATTATAATTTTGTTGTAAACATGTATTATTAGATAAATTTGTAATTTGTTCATGGGCATCTATCAAATCTTCATCTGTATCATTTCACAAATTTAAACCTGCAATATTTCCTATTATTTCAGCAATTTCTATTAAAACCTTCTCTCCATTTTGAAATTCTTTCATTAAATTTTCCTCAATTGGCATTATTTCCCTTATTACAAGGATGATAATAATAATTCAGATTGTAATGTGACTACCATAGAAACACATTTTGCTAAAGCATTTGCTTCCTTATATGCATCATTAATAAGAACTCTAATTTTGTCATCTGTAGGCCAAATTTTTAAATTTAAATCATTGACATTTCTTTCAAAATAATCACAAATATAACCTATTAAAATTTTTTATAAATAAAATTAGAAATTAATTATAATAAAATACTAAGAATTATTAATAAACTAACCAACTCGAGATGTTTTATATTCAGAATTCAGACGAACAATTGTTGAACTATAATAAGCATTTGTAATATGACGAATTTTAGGGATTAAATATATTAAATCTGCATATGTAAAATCTGGTAAATTTTACCATGCCATTTCAAAAAATGCTCGTATGCTTCACTACCATGCATCTAAGGTAATAATGGCATTGAATTATAATATTCCCGATGTGATATGATAAGTAGAATCTGTAATAAATAAAAATTATTATTATTTACAATTTAATAAAATTAATTAAAAAAAAATTGAAGTTCATAAATACCATTAAATTAGCAAGAAAAGATAATATTTCATAAGTTTGATAGCTAAAAAGTTACGTTCATTTAAAAAATTTTCTTTATATTTATTTGTTGCATTTTAAATAAATTAATTCTTTCATAATTAGAAACATCCTGATTAAGGTATGAATCAATTAATTCTCCTTTTAAAATAATAAAATATATAATGTATTAATTAATTAATTTTATATTAATTAAAAATAAAAAAAAATTAAAATTTAATTTACTGATAATAAATAAATAAATCAGCTATCATTTGTTATTAGAATCAGAATTTAAAGCTTGAGATACTTTATATAAAAATTCATGAGAAAAAAGTCGATATGCAGCTTATTAACATTTAAAACATCCACATGACACAAAGCAGAATTTGGCAATTTAGACAATTCTAACACATGACCAAAACCCAAGAAACTATTTCCAAAAGTTAGCATTTAAGTACCACTAAAAATGCTATTTCGTCCATTTTTTTCGCATGTTTCAAATCTGAGATACAAACAATAGGACCAATATTTGGAATTATAGAACAATGTAATTTGATATCTAAATAAAAAAGTTATTAATAATAATAACAATAAGATTTATATCAAAAATAAATTAATTATATATATCATATAATTCATCAATAAATTCAAGTTTCATTTCAATATTAGTTTGCATAATATTCTTTTGTGCTTTAATTTCTATTGATACACCATCAGCTCCAATTGATAATATATGAATCTTAAAATGTGCAGCAAGTTTTAAAACTTGATTATGGATTTCATATACATTAGATACATTTTCGCTATTATTTGGAATAATTCTAAGTACAAATGATGGTACTTTCAGAACTGGTACTTGTAAAATGTATATACAAACATATTTAGCTATTGCATTATTATTTTAAATCTTTTTTACAATAGTATCAATTTCATCATAAGAAGATATTAAAGTTTCTTGTAATGGTTATGTAGACCCAAGAATTGCGCCTAAACTTGTAGAATAGCATAAATTTTCTTCAAGTTTTATGTTATCTGTTGATGCAGTGATTGATCCATCATAATTAATGCTATTTAAAAATTTTCTAAATTTAGCCATATTTTCAAAGCATATTGACAGATCATCAAGTATTAAATCTGATTGAGTATGTTATACACTAAATTAAAAATAAAATAAACTTAAATATATGTATATATTATGCAGCATATATATTTACTGAATATTTCGAATTGTTCTTCTTACAAGATTTTTTTGAAAAATTGCATATGTTTGTGGATTACTGCTTACTAAAATAGTTAAAATTGTTTAGGATATTTAATATTTTGAAGCCTCTTTCCTTCATTAATACGATTTATTATTTCCACAAAAATTTCACACAATCCAGAAAAAATTTGTTGTTCTTAAATGCATTGGCTCATCCCATTTTTGCTAACTGATTCCAAAATTTGGGAGTGTAATCTTTAGGATCATTAAAGTATTCTAATTTCATGATATTTGCATTTTTACAATATTGATAAAATAGAGAATTCTTATAAAGAATCAAAGGTGTATATTTTCAGTTTTTTTCTTTAAGAATTGGTTTATCAATTGCATTCTATTTAATAATAAATAATTTATCATTTATAAATAATTGTATATTATAAAACATAATTTATAAAAAAAATTTATTATCAGAAAAACCTTTGATTTTTCATATCAAGACATTGCCGACAAACTTCATTAATTCCATCAATATATGTTGAATATTCAGTACTTCTAATACAAAAAGTTATACTATCATTAATCCACTTTGCTCGTAATCGTAAAATATCTAAAAGTTGATCATTTCTTTTTGTTTAAATCTTTCCAATGAAATGATGATTTAATTTTATCACCAAATAATTCTCATGCTACAACTTCTGGAGATAATGCACCACCAAATGTGATTATAAAATCTACACGATGTAAATATAATTTGACTTTTTCATCATTTAACCCAACACAAAATTTTCTTTTTTTTGAAGTTTCTGAATTTTCAGTTGAAAAAAATTTCGTAATTTTAGAGTTTCCATCATTACTTTTACATATATTTTTTTTAACAAGATGGTCAAGAAGATCTGAATCATAATTTCTATCAAGACAAATTTTTTTACTGCATATACATATTACAGTCTTTGGATCAATAACTTTTCTAACTTTTGGATGTTTTGAAAGTGTTTCCTCTATATGTTTCATTTTATTAATAAAATAAATTTTTTTATATAAATAAATTTTATATACTTTCACATTAAGCAATCAAATTTTTAAATTTTTTTCTTTTTGTTTTATTATAATAAATGTGTCAACAATCAAATTTTTTTTATATATTATATAAATTGTAAATTTAGGGTTATATATAATAACCATCAACATGATAATTTACCCTAATTTATAGTATACTACCTTAAAAATCTCAAAAATTTAACCATAAAAATCCTACTACTATTTTTATAGTTACTCTATTTTACCCTCCATATTTTTTTAAAAAACCCATTTTTTACATACCACTTTTTAAGAAAATTTTCCAAAATTTACCTCATTTTATATATATCAGATTCAATATAATTGTTCAGGGTCCTATCTAAATGCTATTTAATTGTTAAAAGCTTAAGCGTGATGATTTAATATATAGTTCTGAATTTGAAGTAGATTCTATTTCATTTGATATATTCATATTAGTTTATATTTTTCAGGCAGGATAATCTATAGTCTATGTCCTGATGAATTTGTTCATGTAGAATAAAGGTAAAATAGAAATTAGTGGTGTAAGATCAACTATTTATGTAATATATAACATAAAAAATATAAAAATAAGATGTGTATGATATAAAAATCCGTTGATCTTACAATTTTTCCAGAAAAAAAATCTGTTACAAACTTTTTATCAGAGATTTTAAAAATTCTGAATTTTGTCAGAATTTATAATACTATATTAAGCACTGACTATAGAAGACATATTTAATAACTATTTAACGTAAATTTAGTAAATTTTGCAATAAAAGGTATTTTAACACGTGATTTTCTCTTGCTTATATTTGAATTTAAAATGTCATGATAATAATATAGTTATTTCACAAATCATACATAATACACTTCTTTTTTTATGTCATACATTACACAAATGATCAATCCTATACCACTGATTTTTGTAGTACTCGTAAAATAATATCATTAGTAGAGTTAAGATGTTCAATGATATTTTTGATGGTATTTTCAAAATTGGTAGGTATATTGAAAAAGTAATTCTTAGTTGTTTGTTATTTAATTTGAGAGCATTAGTATAAGAATTATTATTATGATTTTGATAAATAGAACAAAATTTTGATAGGTGATATTGTTCTGGTTTAAAATAGTTATATAAGAGTTTGTATAGATTAGATGAAGTCTTTTTTAAACATTTATAATCTAGAGATGCATATTTTCTATAATGTTTATTAGAGGGATCCATCCAATACAAAATATTTTCTTTAAATTTTTTATATTATATCATAGTAGCATTAAGGTTTTCTAAAATTGCAAAATTAATAAAAGTATACAGTCTTTGACAATACTATTAGTCACATAGTATAAAAGATAATTTGGTTTTAATGTATATTAGAAAATTAGAAAATATATATTAATCTATATTAAGTGATAATCTAATGAGTTTTAATTCAAATTGTTAATGTAAGGTTATTTACATTTCTAAATATTATTATAGAAGGATTTAATAGATTCATTTTTATTATATACAATGAATGCGATCTGTCAGAATTCATGTTCCATCATTAAAAATCTGGTGGTTATGCTAACTATATCAGATTTAAAAGATTTAAAAATAGAGGGATATCTGAAACTTTAATAGATCTGCTTTTTTCAGAATCGATTTTCTATCATTTGGCTGTAGAATCAGTAATTAAAAATATTAGATTATGTTGTATTTTCTGTACTTTTATAACTGCATAGTTAAGAGCTTTTATAATATCAAAGTAAATAATGAACTTTCTATTTTTGGATAGGTAGTTTAATTCTTAATAATTATTAAAGTTAATAAATAATGAATTGATAAAATTAAGTTAATATTTAGATTAGACAAAAATGCATATTATATTTTTCTACTATAAAATTTTCTTTTATATCTGAGGTTGAATTAGTTGCATAAAAATGTATAGAAACAGTAATTATATTATATAAGTAATTTTTTACATTTGTGTTACTAGACGAAATTTCAGCATCAGACTAAGTAACTTTTTGTTTACCTTTGACTTTTTTAATGTCAGTGATAGGGAAAGAAGATGATTCACTATTATAGTTATTATTTTATTAATAGCATGTATAGAATCATTTGTAATGAGAATGTTTATATCTTTTAAAATTTGTGTAGGAGAGGAAAGAGGTACACTGTCTATCTATTTCAGAAGGTGTGATATTAAAAAGTTTTAAGCTTCAGTTATTTGTTGGTTATTTGTATTATTTGTTAGAAGATCTTTTTTATGACATTATATATGTTGATCAAAGTTAGTTCTAAATTTTTTAGGAAAATTTTTTGTTTTTTATTGATATTTCATTATTGTTTACTGTAATATTATTGTTTGTTAGTTTTGAAAGTTGTCAGATTATTTGTCTGTATTGATTATTTAAGGTCTTTTATATTTATTAGTCATTTGAGATATCAAAAGTTTATATTTGTTTGCTCTTATAATTGGCATATTTTTAATCAAAGTAATCATTAAAAAGAGTTATTATTTAATTTGAATCACTAGATATTGAGCTATTAATATTTAATGTAAAATATTTATATTATAATTTATAAATTTTATTAAATTTATTTTTTCAAGATCTAGTGATTTAAATTAACTCAAATTTTAATATATAATAAATAAATATTATATTTATAATATATCAAAAATTGAGCTAATTTGAATTACTAATTATTAAGAATTTTATATATATTTAATTATAAACAATTTATTAATTCGTAAAAATATAAAGATTTTAATCATTATTTTTATATTAATTATTTTATTTATTATTGTTATATATTAAAAATTTGAGCTAATTTAATCACTAAATCTTAATATTATTTATAAATTGTAATAAAAATATTTTATCATAATTATTTATATTAACGTCAATATTTTAATATTTAGAGATTTAAATTAAATAAAATTTTAATATATTATTTTTTAAGATTATAGCTAAGATATGTCTAAAAACTTTTGACTAGAATCTAGAATAAGGAAAATAACTATTTAAAGAATTAGTAAAATGCAAAGAATGCAAAGAAAAAATACAAAATGATTTATGAGTTTCTTATTATATACGTTGAGTAATATTTTTAAAATCTGATTTTCTTACTCAAAAAAGTGTAATTGAAGAAATAATCAAAAAAGTTAGATATAAATGCATTTTTTTTAAAGTTCTATTATGAATTAAACTTTATTGAGAAATATTAAAAATTGCTAAAAGATATTTGCATGAAAATTGTAATTATTTATGGAAAGACTTGTAATAAATAGTGCCTAAAAGTTTAAAATCAATATCTTTGATAAAAGTTAGAAAATTTTAGCGCTATATTGATTTTTATAAAAAGGTCTTAGTAGAAGATTAGTAAAGTATGCTATAAAAAAAAAGTTCCATCAAAGAATTCTGAATAGTATTTTTAAAGAGTAGAATAATTTAAACAAAATCAAACTTTAAAAAAATTAGGTTAATTTGTGAAACATATAATATATTTGTAAATAAAATATATAATACATTTAAAAATCACAGCATATAAATTTAACCAATAAATCATGCTTAAATATTTTAGACTGATCTACATTTTGAATGCCTTTAGATATTATACACTATAATCTAAGTTTTATGTAAAGATGTATAACATAATAAGAAGAAGGAATAACTGAAAAATAATTCTCTATTGATTACTGTTTAGTAGAAACATATCTACTAATGTCATTCTTAGGATAGAAAATATAATTATAAATATATCATATTTAGTCAATATCATTCACAATTTTAATCATACCAGAGTAATACCAATTCTTTTTATAATATCAGTCACTGATCCAACCTGTAAAGAAATAGGGTATTGTTAACTATTAGCTATTATATGTATAATTTAAATAACAAATGATATTGTAAACCTCTGTTAATAATATTTTCTTCCTCTTCATTTCAATTTCAGCATCTAATTCAAATTTATCTTAAAATAGCTTCAAGTTTATATCACTTTTATGATGACCAGTATGTAAAATTTATATGCTCAATATGTACAGATACACATTAAATTTTTTGTGCACATATTATACAACATAAAATATATAAAATACTAGCAATTCTACCTGAAAATTGCTTCACAATAAAAAAAGGTGAAAAATAAGTGTTCAGCATAAAGTGAATAATAAAAATCTGAATGCATATAGAACAATACAATATTTTTAAACTTTTCAATTATAATATACTAAAATATTGCATTGTGTTATGTAATACAAAGTGGTCAGGTTTATAATTTAAAGTATTTTCAATATTGTTTTCGTTTCTTTGCACTTAATGCCTTTATATTTTAAAGAATCTTAGCGTTAAAGTTGATATAAAATTCAATTTATTGAAATGAAAATGTGTGTAATAAATGACACTTTTGAAAAAAGTTCCCCTTTACATTTTAATGACGATCAAGATTTATATTCAGAATAATCTGACAATGAATTTGATATAACTTCGGAGTTATTTGACGAACTTCCTAAATTACAATTATTTGAATTTAACAAAAAAAATTATATTAAAGCACAAATGGCACTTGAACAAAAATTTGTGGATCAATTAAGCGATGAAAATGAAGAAGACTTTGATGCAGATAAAGTAGATTCTAAAAACCAAGAAGTTTCTTTACTTTCAATACCTATTAAAGAAGCAAATGAACCTGTATATAGACTTAATCCAACTGTGAATGCAAATTTTTCACCATGTATTCTAATCAACTATTTAAATAATAAGTTGCAAACATGTGATTAAACTGTGAATGTTAGAAATATATGCCAGTTAGTTAGAACCTGGCAAATTGATGAAAATGCGGTATTAGAATTTCAATCAAAAGGAATACCATTGGGAATGTGTATGAATCATTTTAATTATAATCAAAAAAATTATAATGCATATATAAAACAATTATGAAGTTCTGAACAAAGTGAAATTTGCCGCTGACGTTGCTTATTATGTTTTAAGAATTTTTATTTCTTTAGCCATAAAGCTGGGTGTAAAGATCATCTGTGAAGAATATGGAGAAATATATTCAAATTCTGTGTATTGGTCTTTATTCATGTAATGCAATACATGAATGCCAGGATATTTCTAAACGAATTTTTGATGATGTTTTAACAGTTCAATATATTTGTTATAATTGTTATGAATCTCATGGTGGGCATTTGAATCATCGACCTGGTACTGGCAAGCGAAAATCCACTTGTGAACAACATGGATTACATAAAGATGATATATCCAAAAGTTTGAAATTATTGGGTCAATGGCTTACATATGTAGCTAATACTGAAACAGAAGAAAAAAAGAAAATAATTCTTGCTTCTATGTTAGCTCCAGCTTTAAATTTTTATTTACTTCACCCAAAATCCCTTTAAAATATGAATATTATGATCCTAAAAATAATACACGTTATTCAAACCTTAATGAATTTATTAATACAAATACTACAAATTTTAATGATTCAACTATCCTTATTTTATCTAATTTACCTAGTTATTTTTTTTTGAAATTATTATTAAACATAAATCGTATAATTGATATTGTACATCCAAAATTAGAATGGACAAATGATAAATGGAAAGAAGTTGGGGAAATGTTAAGAAATGAAGTATGGAATTCACGTAAAATAGTTACAGAAAAAAAATCAGAAATACAATTACCTGTTTCTCTCAATGCATAATATGCAAGTTTTTCAAAATTTTTAACGGGATTTTTTGATAGATTAATTGGTGAAATTTTTAAAAAAAAATTAATGGTTTTAAATAAAAAACGAAAACAACGAGATAAATCTTTAAAACAACTGGATAATGAACATATTACCAAATGTGTGACATTTATTGTTTCTCTTATTGTAAGCATGATATTTCCTTATCTTGGCGTTTGGTTTACTCAAGTAATGACCAGTATGTTTCATAAATCACGGCTTTTTTTGTTATTCTGATGACTTCTATTCACTTTACATATAAGCGGTCATACTAATGGTCATGAAACCCGAATAGAAAAATATCGAATGGCCAAAGTTAATCTAACTGAAAGATTATTAAATGGGTCAAATGTATGGAATTTAGCTATTATAGACAATATAGATTTTAAAGAGAAAACTTTTACTTACAGAAATATATTTGATACAACCTGTGAAAGTTCTCAGATGCAAATGTCAATTTCTTTAGAAGAAAAAGCAGATAATGAGAAAAAAATTCCTTCACCATTGGGTCTTTTTGGTATAAATGATTTAATGAAAAACACATGGGATATGTTTGATAAAGTTGTTGATGATCTTTTGAATTTTCAAACAAATTTTGAAGGACAAATTATTTACGATACAAATTTTGATATGGTAACTATTCACCAAAAAATTCTAGAAAACGTTGACTATAGTTGTTCAGCTGGTGTACCTAATATAGTTATATTAGAACCAGGTGGAATTCCAAATTCAGATGAAGGAATATTTCAATCTACAGAAATATATAAACAAGACTTTGAATTAAAATCACATGATTACTTGGATGTGATAGCTGATGAAGCAATCTTTAGAAGACTTATTAAACAAAGGAAACAATGGCCAAACCTACGTCCTATTCTTGGCCAATGGTATACTTCGAAGGATATGTGTGGAGTTCTAATTGTATTGTTTTCAAGTTATGGACTTTTTGATCTAGCAAAAACATTAGGAGTTAAATTTTTGAACAAGTTAGATAACATTGTTGATTATCATTTTACAGTTCATGTTTTAGAACTAATATGGTGTGCAGTAACTATTACTATTCATATTCATATGAAAAGAACAAATCTCAGTAAAGATAATATTGTGGATTCAGACAGTAATGCTAATACCGTTTTATAAATATGGTATTTTTATTACAAATGGGCATCAATCTTCAAAGCACATCATGTTGGAATTCGTATTGAAAATTACAAATTACAGAAAAATGCCTTGTCTTATTTTGCAGGTTTATTTGCATTAGCAAGAAAATCAAATTATTCAGTATCAGTTGCATAATACCTTGGAATATTAGCTCAATATCCAAAACTTGAAGAAAATTGGAATATGCTTCATCAATTAAAATTGATAATGAAGAAAAATGGAAAGGTTATTATTTTGCATTTGATGAGGTGCTTGAAACATTTGGAGTTAAATTTATAAAACAGAATATTACCAGAAATGTAATTGATATCAATAATCTAAAGTTACAAGTCAAATCCGCCTAGAGTGAAAGAAATCATATAGGAATCTTATTGTCAGAATATCTTAATGATCCTTGTGAATCAACTGAACAAAGAGCTATAGATACTCGTAAAACAGTCATGTGGAACCTAGTACACGAACTTTTGTTAGCATTTTGCTATTCAGATGATTATAACCATTATCAAAATCCTTTATAGAATACTACTTCTTCCGATCAGTTTACAGCCACCAGTATTACATGCCTTGATAATTGTTTTCCTGATGAGACTTTAAGAATAGAAGCAATTTTCTTACAAGATGTTATCTCAGTGCAAAAAAGCAATAAAGTTGGAAGAAGAAAGTTAGGAGTTGTAAGATGGAAACCTAATGACCAAACTTCAAAAAAAAGAAATCCTTCCAAATCGCTGTTACATCAACATCACATTCAAATATAGAAAATTCTAATCAAGCTATTTCTGACCAACTGCCAATTGATTCAAGAAAATTAGTAAATCAAGATGAACCGCCAAGAAAAAAGCAAAGACAATATTGTGAAACCAAACCTGAAGAAAAAAAGCTCTTAGAACCATTGCTGACTTGTTCTGAATATCCAACTAGTAACCAATTAGATCAAGTTAAAGAAACATTAGGGGATGAATGGGATAAAAATCGGATTTGTCAATATATATCTCGTCATAGACGTAATAAAAACAATAATTATGAATAAAATAATATTTTATTATTGTATTTTGTCAAAGCAAATTTAGTTTTTATACATTTATTCTTATAAATTTCATTATATGAAAAAATAAAAGCTATTTTTTATCAAAAAGTATTGTTGCATATAGTTTGGTAAAGTGATTCTGTCAAAAGATTTAATAAAAACAAAGAACGTTTAGTACTTTTTTGTTGGTTTAAAAACTAATAGCAAAAGAATCTGAGGTTTTAATGTCAAAAAATAGGCGGAATTGCCAATAGAATAAAATGTTATAGAAGAGCTCAAAAGGCAAAACCTCAACTTCTTTTAGATAGAAAAAATGCTGACGAAAAAAAGTATTAAAAATTGAATACATTTATATTGCGACTTGAAATAGTTTACATAAAAAAAACTTTTCAGACTTAAAGGTTACACACAATTTTTAATTATGATTGACACTATAAAATGGATATGCATACTGACTGATATTATATTAAGATATAATATCATATACATTACTAAAAGTTTGTTCACATGTATATCTTACTAAAAGATTATTCATACATATATGTCATTAAAAATTTATTTGCATGTATATATCATATTGTAAACTGTAAAATAATATATAAATTAATTTAAATATTTTATTATACAATTAAATACTTTTATAAAATTAAAATAAATAATAAAATTAAATTAATACTTTTAAATCTATATACAAATTAAAATAAATAATAAAACTAAAAATTATATACAAATTAAAATAATAAAATTAAAAATAATTTACAAATTAAAATAAATAATAAAATTAAACTAAATACTTTTAAAATTATATACAAATAATTAAATAATGTAATACTTTTAAAATTATATGCAAATGAATTGAAAAATATATACAAATGGTTTTTTTTTAAATACAATATATACAAATGATTTAAATTATAAAATTTCTTTATATACAATGTTTTTTGTGTATACACTGATTTATATTTAAATTGACTATCCTTAACTAATATTTTGATATTATTCTTTGATTGAATCCTTGATAATGCTATATATAATTGTTCATGAGAAAATATAGAATTAGGCAAGTATATGATATTATTTGACCTTAAGCCTTATTAATGGTCATGGTAAAGGCTAAATGAATTAGAAACTGGTAACAGATTAATTAAAATGGTAAATTTATATCTGATGGGGTTAATCTAATTTGAAAAATAAATACTCTTTTTGTATGATAAGTGCCTGTTAAGATTTCTGCATCTATTACATGCCATTGAAATCCTTTAATAATCAATCTGATACTATTGTAAAGTCCTTCTTTTGGATTAATATTTCTTAAAAGCATAATAGGAACTCTAATTTTAAGTACCAAATGATGAGAAAGTATTTCACATGGTGTTAATGTATTCAAGAATTTTATAGGATAAAGATTTTAATGAACTTTCTCTTTTCATCAACAGAATCTGCTGATAAGAATACTTGAGATTCTTCAGGAAAAATGTTGATAATTTGTTCATTAATATTATTAATATTATCATTTTTTACTGTAAGAATCACTTGATCTTTAATATAATTGATATAATTTGCATAATCATTAAAGCTATCATTAATATTATAAAAAATCTCTGATATTAATAATTTAATTTTCTCATCATTAAAGATTATATCATCTTGTAATCTGACGATATCTTTACCAAGTTAGAATATAATAACTCCTTTCTTTTACTAATTTGTAATAAATAATCTACAAATTGTTTTTATTTATCATCTTATGATTGTTTAATTCTCATGTTAACAGTCAAATGCATAATGTTAATATGTTTTCATAAATCTGAATTCTTAATGCAAGTATTTATTATTGTTCATATTTTTTTCAAATTACTACAGGTAAGATTTGCCTAAAATCTTTACCTAAGATAACAATTATACCTCCAAATGGTTTTTCATTATCAATTACATCCTTAAAGGTTCTATTAAGAGCTTCAAAGGCAAACCTATGTGTTATTGGTATTTCATCCCAGATAATAAGTTTTGTCATTCAAATTAATTCAGTTAATTCAAATGTAATACTTATATCTAAAGTAGATATTTCTGTTAATTTGATGAAAATTTTGAATCTTGAATAGGCTGTTCTTCTATTATCTAATAATAAAATTGCAATTCCTGATGAAGCAACTGCAATGGCTATTTGATTATTTGCTCTTATTTTTGTCAAAATTATATTGAAAAAAAAGGTCTTTTCATAACCTCTAAAACCATCAACAAAAAATACTGTTTTATCTATTTCTTTATTAAAAACTTGAATGATTGTATTATAAATGTTTTTTTAATCAACATTTAAATTATTTTTATTGTTCAAAAGAGCTTTTAATTTATTAGAATTATAATTAAGTTTTTTCATTATTAAATCTGATCTTGATAAATTTTCTATTATTTTCAAATAAAGAATAATTTAGAAGAAGAATACCATAATCAAATAAACATCTTTCATAAGGTAATAAATATTTTTCAATATCTATTAATATTTTTGTGATTATAATTGCATAATCTTTATCAGATAAATCTTCAGTATCTTATTATTATTATTCATTCAAATAATCTTCAAATCATTTAAGTGATCTTTTAAAAATTGAGAAGCATTTAACTCTCTTAGATTACTAAATATTAACATAGAGGCAAATAGTTGTCTTAGTTTTGATAACATTTGATACATTGCAACCTTGTTAAGACATTTATCAAATTCATTATTTTCTTCATCTAATAATCCAAGCTATCTCACTGTTTTCTTAAATGTATCATAAATAATTTCATTTATGATATGTATAGCTTCATAAGATATAGCATCATAAATTTGAGATAATAAAATTCTTAAATAAAATCTTTTCTTGTCTTTTAGACTGCAAGTATATATTCGTAAAATTATTTTATCACCATCTTTTTTTCTTTGTTGCCAGTTTCCATTTTTCCAGATAAAGTATTTTAGAAAATCAACATAACGCAAATTACTTATATTTAAATCATCTTGATTATTTGTATACATTTCAAAATAACAGGTTAATTTTATATGTGAGAATTGTTCTAAAATATTAAAAAGATCTTTATTTTCTCAAAAGATAACATTTTGTTAATTAGATAAATGAACTGGAAGTCATTCAATTTTATGTGATCTTTCTTGTAAATCAAAATTAAATAATATTCAGAATGCTTTAATAGCAGAAACATATCTTATATTTAAATGTTAAGTGATTTCATCATTTTTAATGGATTCTATTATACAATCAGATCCTTTATAAACATATTTGTAAAAATATTTCACAGAACGGATACTTGAACATATCTCTACGTTAATATGATAGTTATATTTTTGACAAAGATAAGGATTATAAGATACAATTCATTTATTATCAATATTAAATTTTCTTTTTTTGACTGTTTTTTCATTGTCTCTTCTTCTGTATATTGGATATCCATTTTTATTTGTTGTTGTTTTTTCAGCAAAATCTCTGTGATAATTTTTGCTACATTTGTCATTTATCATGCAAGAAGATTCAGAATTCAAGTCTTTGCAAGGTTCATGAATCATATTTTTAGTAATTATATTATATAATAATAGTTGAAGATCTTTGTCTGAAATCTTTATGCATATTATTTTATCAAATCTTCAGTTAATTTTAGTTTATCTTCAGCTAATAAGATCATTAAAATATGCGCATGTAATAATCCTCTTTTTTTTAGAATTTAATTACATATATATAGGCAATAACTTTTTCAAGTACATCTTTTACAAAATAAATGATTTGATTCATCTTTAGCATATTAATCTACTAAATATTGCTGAAATAATCTTCTAACAAGATGTAATATACTTTTTGTTCTATTTGAATTCCTAATTTGCATTCAGTATGCTGCAAATTTTTTAATTGTTATCCATTTTCTTTTCTTTTCTTTTGGTTGATTTTTCAATTCATTATCATTTACAGATTCAATTTCTAATTTATCATTATCTATAGGTTCAATTTTCTTATAATTATTTACAGATTCAATTTTCTCATTATTATCATCATCATTAAGAATAATTGGATTAACTTCATCATCTTCTTTATCAAGTGTATATACTTTTTCTTTATCCTTATTTTTAGTTGAAACAGATCCTAAATTAAGATTTTCAAAAAATTGAGTTATTCCAGAATAGCTAATATTTTGTATAATTTTTTTTTCATCAATGTGCATTCTATCTTCGATTTTAAATTCAGATTCAGATATAGATTCAATAACATTTGCTCTTAAAATGTTGTTATGCTATCTATATTCATCATAAGGAAATAGCAAAGGATATTGTAATGAATCATAAGCACTATTTAATTCAAAGATATATTTTAATTGTCTTTTATGAGTTTGAATAACAATATCTCGATATTTAGGTTAAATGTCATAGTCATAGAGAAGAACTGTAACTTCTGATGCTGTTGGTTTGTTATATTGTTTCATATTCTTACCATGTGTATTATGAATGACTATTCTCCATTATAAAGTATTAGATTTACTTTTAGCTTTAGCTTCTGAGGTTACAAATTGCTTAATAAATAGATTGATTTCTAATAATTTATCTTGTAATGCTTTGAGCATTTCAGCATTCAAATTTAGAAATATTTCTTGTCTTTTTTGAAGTTGATTATCCATATTTGAATCATAAAAGTAAATCTGAGCAAATGTTAGTTTTTGATCATTATTTCTTGGCATTAGACCTCTAATCTGATAATATAATTCACCTTGAATCCTAAATGTATAAATCCTCTTTTTAGTATTTATAAGTTTTTCATCAAGTTTTACACCTAAAAATGTGAATGTAAAAACCTGATTATAAGCTCTGATTTGAGTTACATAAGATTCATCTAATTCTGAATTATTTTGTGTGAGTAAATTATATAAAATTTGTGAAGCTAGGAGAAGAAATGTCAATACAACCTGTTTATTTAAATAACAGAATCCTTTTGTCTCTTTCTTTCACTTTAATGCATAATAGTATTTACAAATATTATTCATCCTTTCTAATTTGTGTTTACTGTTTTCTACTCTATTCTCTGTGTAATCATTTATATTGCAATGCCTTATCTTTAAAAATTGGAATACTAATCTTTCTTTTTTTGTAATATATTTCTTATGTCTACTAATTTTTATTATTCTTTTTGTATTTATTTTGTTCAACTGTTAATATATTTTCAGTTATTTTAGATAGTCCAGCTTTTACACTTTCTTCTCTTGCTTGTCAATTAAGAAATCTTTTTCTGGCTTATCTTTTATTGGTTTGCTTTTGTTTTTTTTCTTTTTCAGTATCATTTTCATGTTTTGCATATTTAGCTTCAATTTTTTCTAAAGTTGTAAATTTTGTTATTTTGTAAATAGAAAGAATTTAAAAATTTTAATAGAAAAAAAATTTGGTAAAATTAATTTTTAAAAATTAAAAAAATTATTTTTTTAAATTACTAAAAAAAAAAGAATTTAAATATGATTTGTTATTTGCATACATGTATGCAGTGATGTACATTTTTAATGTTCCAGAGATTTGTTGTCCCAGCTATATGTCCCAACCTGTCCCACACTATGTCCCAAATGTCCTATCTGTCCCATCTATGTCCCATCAGTGTCCCATAAATGTTCCATGACAATACTGCATGCATGTCTGCATATAAGATTTATTAGTATACATGTATACATGAATGCATAATACTATTTTTATTTTGATTATTTTAAAATTAGTTTTTTTTTTATTTGTTTATTTTTTAATACAGATTATCAGTTATTTGATATATTTATAAATTATTTAATATCACGATTTTTATATTTAATTTTTTTTTTTTAAATTTAAAATTTTTTTCAATTAATTTAATACCGTGATTTTTATTTTTTTATATTTTCTCTATCTTTTTTAATTATTTTAATTATATTTTTATTTATTTTATCCCTTTCCTTTCCCTCTTCCTCTTCCCCTCCCCCCAGATTTTTAATTAAATTAATTATTTTTTTTTTCATAATTTCATAAATAATTAATTTTTTAATTTTTTTTTTTATTTTATACTTTTTTAATTTCCATTTATTTTTTTATTTAATTCTTTTTTAATTGTCCATTTGTAGACTTTTTTTTTAATTTATTTTTTTATTTAATTCTTTTTTAATCCCATCTGCAGACTTTTTTTATTTATTTTTTATATTCTTTTTTAATTTTTCTCGCAAATATATTTTTTTTAGTTTATTTTTTTTTAATTTATTTTTTCAGTTCGTTTATTTTTAATTTATTTTTTCAATTTGTTATTTTTTTTAATTTTTTTTTTAATTTATTGTTTTTTATTTTATTTATTTTTTATTTATATTCTTTTTTATAATCTCTTTACAAACATATTTTTTTTAGTATTTTTTATATTCTTTTTTAATTCTCCCCTGAACATATTTTTTTTATATATTCTTTTTTTTTTAATTTCACCTCCTTCACAAACATTTTTTTTTCATTTTTTTATATTCTTTTTTAATTCTTCCTCCTTTCTACAAATATATATTTTTTTTTAATTTATTTTCAGTTCGTTTTTTTGTTTTTTGTTTTATTTTTTATTTTTTATATATATATATTTTTTTTAATTCCATTCTCCCTCCGCAAACATTTTTTTGTTTTTTTATATTCTTTTTTAATTTTCTTCCCCTACAAACATATATTTTTTTTATATATATTTTTTTTTAATTCCACTTCCCCTCTATAAACATATTTTTTTTTATTTTTTTTATATTCTTTTTTAATTCCCCCTCGTGAGCATATTTTTTTTTAATTTATTTTTTATATCCCCTACGAACATATTTTTTTTGTTTTTTGTTTTATTTATTTTTTATTTTTTTTATATATATCAATCACTGGACAAATCCAGTCATATGACAATCAAAATTTTTAATTAGTAATGATTGACATACTACATTATCAATTTTATATGAAAATCATCAAATAGCTAAAGTTTCATATACAATAAAAAATTATTAGATGGCTAATTAGGAATGTGACTTGGTTACAGATTAAAAAGAACATTTTTAAAAGTAGGTACATTGTTAGAATACATTTTTTCGTGTTTAGTTTAAAAGGATCTTGGCTATAAGGTTATTCACAAAGCTTATATATAAAATTTTAAATTCTAAAATGTCTTTAAACGAAACACACAAAATGTTCTAAAAGCTTTACTTTTAGAAATATCAAGTATTTTACTAAAAGAAAGTGAAGAATATTGTCTTTTTAATGATGAAAACATAGTTGCTGAAGCCATATATGATAACTTTGAAACTGAAATTAAATAAGTTACTTTTTCTTTGGATGAAAAATATTTAAAAAAAGTTATTGATATAGAAAATACAAGTAAAACAGATAGTAGTATATCTAATAATAATGATTCAATTTTAGAAATTGATTCAGAAGATGATGATATAATTATTGAACAAAAAACATCTAAAAATTTAACACAGTGTATTATTGTTGATAAGATCGATAGGTATATTAAAAGATGTGAAAATTCAAAAAGTTTTCAAACATTATGGTAACTTTGTGGTGTATATCAAATAAATGGAGAAAGTATTATCGAAGCAGATAGTGTGTTAGAGCGGCTAGACATTTGTAGTTATCATTTTAACAATAATCAAAAATATCTTCATGATCTGGGATTTAAACAATTAAAAAACACAAGTCAAAGTGTACTTTAACGAAGAAGGTGTTTATTTTGTGAAAAACTTTATTATTTTTTTACATGAGGCACAGGGTGTGAGAAACATTCGTGAAAGATAATTGAAAGGAATGTTCAAGTAGTCTGTAATGACCAATTTAATTGTAATGCGTTAGAACCATTCAATTCTTTATATGAATATGCTTTTGATAAAATTAAAAATCCTTGATATGTATGTTGTAATTATTATAAATATAAGGGAGGACATTTTCATATTAGACTAGGAAAAGGTTGAGAAACATTATCATGTAAAAAAAGAGGAGATCATGAGAAGGATATAAAAAAAAATTTAAAAATGTTAGCTAATTGGCTTCTACATGTTACAAATAATAAAAATTTTGAATATCAAAAAAATGTTCTTATGGCAATTTTGCTATAAATTAGTCCATTTTTTAATTCAAAAAATAAATCTACAATGGCATCATAGCCAGACATATTTAACACACCCAATAAACCTCTCTATTCTAATTACAGTGCTCTAAGTTATTTTATATTAAGAACAGCAATGAAATTAAATCAAATTCCTATCGAATTTTAAAAAGAGAAATTGGATGAGAAAAAATATAAAGAAATCAGTCAGAAAATGGAACAAAAATTATGGCAATCATATAAATATCTTAAAAAAGATATAAATAAATTACAAACTCCAGAAAGCCTTAATAATTATATCAGTGTATTTTCCAAGTATTTAATATATTTTTTTGAGTCCATGCTTATAATAATATTGGAAAAAAAACTGCAGAATCCAATTGAAAATGACTCCTAAAAAATAAACCATTAAAAGAACTAGATTCGCAAAAAATCAACCATCTTCTTTCTTTATTAATCTCAACTCTAATCAATTTTACGTTTCCATACTTAAATTTGTAACTACTAAATATATTAGCTTCGTTATGTCAATGACCAAAATTATTATCTTCATTGCATGACCTCTTGACCAAATGTTCTATTATTGGTCATACAAATAGACATGAACAAAGATTGAAAAAAACACGGATAAAAAGTGCAGACTCTTCTAAACAGTTATTAACTGAAAATAATGTCTTTAATTTAGCTGTAATTAATAATATCAATTTTAAAAAAAGAAGCTTCCAATTTGGAAACATATATGATGTAATTCAAGATACATCACATGCTACATTAAGGATGGTATTCCAGTTTTTGTTACCAGAAGTTATTAGTGAAAAACCAAAACTAACACAAGAGCTAAATATCAATACACAAATCTTTAGAATATCAAAAGAAATGCGTGATATTATTTTCAAAATAAATGAAATTTTTGTAAGTTTATTGGCATTTTGGTACAATGAAAGACAAGAACTAAAATATAATAAAATTGATTTTACAGTAATAAATTTAGAAATATTAAAGCAAATAGAGTTTGGCTGTAATCTTTCACCTCCAAATGTAGTCATATTGGAACTAAGCGAATCTCTAAATGATGATAATGAAATTTTACATGCTACAAAAATGTATAGAAAAGATTTTTTCTTAGATGAGAATGATTTTCTAAATATTTGTGCAAACGAGGTGATATTCAAACGATTAATTAAATGTTGCAATAAATCAAAAAATATACGGTCTATCCTTAGTCAGTGATATACCTCAAAGGCTATGATGAGTACCTTGATTATATTATTCTCAAGTTATGGAATATACGATTTGGCTACAGCTTTGGGTGTAAAATTTTTGGATAAACTCACAGCTGTTGTTGATTACTGATCTATGAGAAGGGTTTTAGAACTAATTTGGGTTGCAGTTAGAGCAGCTATTAATATATACTTACAAAAAAGCAAGGTTAAAATTAAAGAGATATTATCTTGTCTTGCAAATGAGAGAATATGCTTAAGAATATGATACTTATACTATGAATAGTTTACAATATAGAAAACTCATCTTATCAGAATATACTGTGGAAATTATGAATTACAAAAATTTGGATTAGCAGCTTTTGCTTCACTTTTTTCTGCTACAGGAAAAAGTAATTACGCTACTTCTGTTACACATTTTCTTGCAAATTTAGAAAAATATCCACTACTAGAAAAAAACTTTGTCTTTATGCTTCTATAAATTTAGTAAGAGAAAGACATTATCTTGCTTTTGACAAAGTATTAGAAACTCATAGCGTTGCTTATATTAAGCAGAATATTACTGAAAATTCGTGTGATCAAGAAAACTTAGAGTTACAAATTAAAGCAACTCAAGAAGAAAGAAATCGAATAGATACATTATTAAATGAAATTCTAAATACTTACACATATCAATGAAAGGATTGTAACATAAATAATCATATTG